ACAATAATACCTAATCACATATGCTTTTTAAACAGTTCTCTCTCATCTGTTTCAATGCAGTATACATAGTTTATCCCATCTTTCTCAGTCTCCACCCAACCCCTATGTCAATCCCATTTTACAACAGTGGCACTGTGCAGTATTTGTCCTTTTGTGACTGAGATATTTCACTCAGTATAAGGTCCTTTAGGGTCATCCATTTTGAATAATATTTCATGGGTTCCTTGTTTTTCAATTCAGCATAGTATTCCATCCACAGCTTCTCTATCCATTTGTTTGTTGATGGGCACATAGGTTGTTTCCAGCTCTTTGTTATTGTAAACAAAGCTACAATAAACATGGATGTGCATATTAATTGTAAGCTTTTTTAGTTATTCTATTGCTTATCCCATTCCCATTCCTCTCAGGGTCAGCCACAGTTTGTTATGATCCACATGGTCAAAGACCTTTGCATCATCAATGAAACATAGATAGATATTCCTCTGGTACTCCCAGCTTTCAGCCAAGATCCATCTAACATAACTACAATATCCCTAGTACCATGACCCCTTCTAAAGCCAGCTTGCACTTCTGGCAGTCCTCTGTTGATGTGCTGTTCCAGTTGTTCTTGGATAACCTTCAGCAAAATCTTGCTTGCATGTTATATCAATGATATTGTTCAGTAATTTCCACACTCTGTTGGATCGCCTTTCTTTAGAATGGGAACAAGTATAGATCTCCTCCAGTCAGTTGTCCAAGTGGTTGTCCCCCAGATTTCTTGACACAACTTGGTGGGCACATCTAGGGCAGCATCTGTTAGTTGAAATATGTCAGTTGGTATACCATCAATTCCTGGGGCCTTAATTTTTGCCAATTCCTTCAAAGCAGCTTGAACTTCTTCCTTCAGTACCATAGGCTCTTGTTCATGTGTTTCATGAAATTCTTCTGTGTCTGCCAATTCCCTTCGGTATAGTGACTCTGCATATTCATCTTCTTTTAATACTTCTTTGATTATTAATATTCTGCAAAAGCACCCTTCAGTATTGCAACTTGAGGTTTGAATTTGTTCTTCAGTTCCTTGAGCTTAAGAAATGCTGAGCAATTTCAACACTTTTGATTTTCTGACTCCAGCTCCTTGTACATTTCACTGTAATATTTTACTTTGTCTTCCCTTGCTGCCTTTTGAAATCTGTTTTTTGAAATCTGTCTTGATTTCTTCCCTCTTCTTTGGATTCTTGGTGTTCTAGTGCAATATTCAGAATCTCTTCTGACATCCAATTTGGGCTTTGTAATGACCTTTTGCACTCTTCCTAGATGATAATCTTGATATCCTCCCACAACATAGTTGATCTTCGCTCATTGGTGTTCAAGGCCTCAAACTTGTTCTTAAGATGGTTCTGAAATTCAGGTAGGATAGACTCAAGGTCATATTTTGGTTCCCATGGATTTGATTTAATATTCCTTAGCTTCAGCTTGAACTTGCATATGAGTAGTTGGTGGTCTTTTCCACAATCAGCACCTGACCTAGTTTTCACAGCTTATAATGAACTTCTTCAGTGGTTATTTCCATAGATGTAATCAATCTGATGCCTATGCATACCATTAGGTGAAATCTGTGTGTATAACCTGCGTTTATGTTTCTCATAAAACATAAATAAGTCAATGAATAAGTCATTGTAAAATATGCAATCACTCTATCTCCAGCTTGATTTCTGTCACCAAGTACATGTTTTCCAACTACTGATTCTTCTTCTCTTCTCTCAACTTTTGCATTCTAGTCACCCATTGTTAGTAATGCATTTTGATTGCATGCTCGATCGATCTTTGACTGTAAAAATTAGTAGACATTTTCTATTTCCTCTTTTTTGACTCTGGTTGTTGGTGCGTGTATCTGAATGATAGTGGTATTCACCAGACTTCCTTGTATGCATATGGATATTATCCTGTCACTCACAATATTGTATTTCACGATCTATCTAGAAATTACATTTTTAACTATGAAAGCAATCCCAGAACACTTGATAGTGCTAATGTGAAACCTATGTTTGGACCAGGAGGCAGTCGTCAGAACAGAGCAAGGAACACTGCATGGTTCAAAATTGGGAAAGGTGTACTCAAGGGATGTGTCCTATCTCCATACTTTTTCAACCTCTATGCAGAACAGATTATCCGGGAGGCTGGACTGTATGAGGAGAAGTGTGGCATCAGGTTTGGTGGAAGATTCATCAACAATTTGCATTATGCGGATGACACAACCCTGTTTGCTGAGACTGAGGAGGAACTGAAGTGCTTGCTGCAGAAGGTCAAGGGCTGCAGACTTCAATATGGATTGGGGCTCAATATCGAGAAGACAAAGATTCTTACCACTAGGCCAATTGGCAGCATCAGGATGGATGGTGAAGAGATTGAGTTTGTTAACAGCTTTAGTTTACTTTGGTCCACAGTCAACATTCTTGGCACCAGCAGCCAGGAAATTAAAATTATTAAATATCAATAAATATAATAATAATAGTAATAATAATAATAATAATAATAATAATAATATAAAAATTATTGTGATGGAAAGTCTTCTGTTAAAGACCTCTCCAAAGTACTGAAGAGCAATGGTGTCACTCTAGAGACTAAGGTGTGCCTGTACAGGCCATGGTCTTTGCAATCACTTGCTATGCATCAGAGAGCTAGACAATGATTAGGGAGGACAGAAGGAGAATTGATGCCTTTGAGTTGTGGTGTTGGAGAAGAGTATTGAATATACCATAGACTGTCAAGAAAATGAACAGGTTTATCCTGGAGAAGGCTAAACCAGGCTGCTCCTTGGAGGAAAAGACTCTGAAGCTTCATCTGACATACTTTGGACATGTTGCAAGGAGGGACCAATCCTTGGAGAAGAATGAGGGTGGAGGGGCAGCACAGGAGAGGAAGACTCTCTATGAGATGGATTGATTCAGTGACTGAAGTAATGGGAGTGAGTGTATCAGGGATAGTGAGATTGGCACAGGATAGAGCAGAGTTTAGGGCTGTTGTACATAAGGTCGCTATGAGTCGCAGGTGACTTGACGGTACATAACAATAACAACATTGCTTTCCTCTTAATTACTGCCTCAGTCAGTTGTGATCTTAAACAATTTCCTCTACCATTTGGTTTTCCTCAAAAAGCTGAACATAGAAATTCCATATGATGAAGGTATTCCACTGCTAGAAATTCACCTCAAGGAAAACAGAACTGAGACAAAAATGGAGATTTGTACATCGATGTACAGCATTATTCACAATAGCAAGAATGTGGAAACAGTCCAAATGTCCATCAACAAACTACTGGATTGAGATATTGTGGTATATGCATACAATAGAATACTACTTGGCATGCAGAAGTAATGATTTTGAAAAATACTATATAACATGGGAGAGGCTAGAGAGCATTATGCTTCATGAACCAACTTATATTTATAAGGACAAATACTGTATAAGACGTTGTTGTTATGTGCCTTCAAATCACTTGAGACTCATAGCAACTCTAAGTACAACATCTCTGAACCCTGCTCTATCCTGAGCGAACTTCATTGTCTCTGACACACCTACCCCCATTATCCCAGTCAACAAGTCAATCCATTTCATCTAGGGTCTTCCTCTCTTGTTGCTGTTGTTATGTGCCATCGAGTTGCCTGCAACTCATAGTAACTCTATGTACAACAGCCCTAAACCCTGTTCTACTCTGTGCCAATCTCACTGTCTCCAACACACCTACCCTGATCACCCCAGTCACCAAACCAATCCACCTCATAGAGGGTCTTCCTCTCCTGGTTTAACCCTCTCTTTGATGAATGTGTTCATTTTATTAGCAGTCCATGGTATAGTCAATACTCTTGTCTAGCACCCAAGCTCAAAGTGTCGATTTTCATTCTATCATCTTTTGTCATTGTCCAGCTCGCTGACGCATAGCAAGTGATTGCAAAGATTATGGCCTGTATCCAGTGCACCTTAGTCTCCAGAGTGACACCATCGCTCTCCAGTACTTTGTACTTTTGTATAAACAGAAGGGTAACTAGTATGATAGATGTGGCTATCCAAAGAGGGTATAGAATGGGGCAGTTAAGGTTCTGAAAGGGGGAGAAATAATGGGGTTGCCAGAGTTGCTTGATTGGAGGGAGGGGGTGAAGGAATTATGAAAGATCCTGTGAGGATCTGAAAAGACAGGGTGATAGTGGACATAGATCAATGGTAATTGGTTTTATAAGATACAATGTATGGGGATAATTATATGACACATAATATGAATGAAAAACAAAAACTTAAAAACAAAACCAAACAAAACTCAATATAAAACCAATTACCTCTAGTTGTTTTTGACAAATACCCTCAGGGAAAAGGCTTTCACCCTGGCAAGCTTAAACTCAGGGCAAATAAAGATAGTAGTGCAAATCTGCCTTTCCAGGCAGCTATCAACTAGGTTAAATAATGGTATTTGTCTGGGAATTGGGCTTTAGAGAAGGTCAAACATAGCTTAGGTTTTTTCCTAGTGATGGCTAAGCTGATAGTTTTCTTAGTAATTGTGGGCTATTGGTTTTCAAGACTATCACGAAGCTGAAGAGGGAGTGAGATGAGTGGAGGGGCTGTTAAAATGTCACAGAACTTGGCGGTTTTCACCAAGCTTCAGCCATTATTTCCTAAATAAGTATTCCCCATGTTACTATATGTTTTTGATTCATTTTCATAGTTCCAAAAAAGGTTGGCTCTTACCATTTTTTTCCTCTAGGGATTTTTGTTGTTGTTGTTTTTACAGGACAGAGAATTTTAAGACGTATTTATTCCACGATTTTTAAAAATGATTTTTTAAAATCATTCTGGGGACCAGTAATTAACATAAAAGACCTAGTGAATTTATTTCTTTTCATAACATATACATGCCTATTTTTGTTGTGAAAGATAATCTGAAAATTGCCTGCTCTTTCCTTACATAAACTATGTGTTTACTTTTAAGTGAGCTGACAGATTATCATGCGTTTTGATCCCACCCCATTTAGGATTCTGGCTCTTCAGGAAAACTTCCTTCTCCAATTTAAAATGGATGTAAGTATTGACATTCCTCCAGATGGATTTCTGTCACTCTATCATTTTTGTTTCTCCAAAGATTTGATAGAGAGAAAGGAAGGTATCTATTTGTCTTGGCTTTAACATATTCAGGGAGCTTTGTTGACCTAGGTACTGAGAGTGTGGGATAGCGTCAGTTTCAGATCTGTTGTTCATAGAGTTGATATGAGTTATTGTCAACTCAACAGCACTTAACAGCAACAGTAACTGAAAAGGCTTTAAAGAATTCAGTGTTATTGAATAAAAGTTTTAAGAGCTATTCCTGAGCCTAGAAGTTGTATAATTGCCATTCCTCGCTGTTTGACGTGATACTTTCTCCTTAACAGGCCTGTTCCACAGAAGAAAGAAAGAGGGACTTTGAGAAAATCTTTGCCCATTATGATGTTGTATGTATACTTGTTCATATTGTTTTTATTATCTTTATATATAAAGACTTATATGATGAATACTGATCCCACATATATACTGACATATAAAGATACACTAAATATAAACTTCTCTGTATAAACTTGAGACTATAAAGGGTTTAATTTTGTTGGACATAATGTTGAGATGAGTTGGAGTCAATTCAAAGGCCCCTAGCAAAAAAATCAACAAGTGTAAATGGCCAAAATAAGTGTTTATAGTTGAGAAGAAAATAAAATCACAAAGTTTATTTTTATTTCTTGGTTCCATACTAAGAGTAGGTTTCTCTTTCTGGTCTCCATCCAAAATTATATGCTCAAAGAAGCAAACCCAGACAAACAAATGACAACAGCAAAATTACATCCTATGCAAAGACATAGATGCAAAGTTAGGTCTACACGTTGTTGTTGTTAGGTGTCGTCGAGTCATTTATGTTTGTCAAACTCTTAGAACTAGGTATGATAGATAGCAAGTAATTGATTAAGTTTGATAAATAAACTAAGAAAACAGAATTTTAGAAATCACATGTTAAAGATTCATAACTAATTAAACTTGAATATATTCACTGTCATAATTGAAACTTTAAAAAAACCCTGAAATTCTTTTGAGGTATATTTCACAGAGTTTTGTGGGTTATAAAATGGGTGGGCAACTGTAATATTCTTGACATTTTCCCTCCAGTTTTATCTTCAGACCAAATGATAACTCTAATATTCTCACTCAATCTATTCCCTCTTGATTTAAAATCATACTTTTATAATCACTAAATCATAAAGTGAAATGTGAAAGAGAATGTTAACTTATCCTGAAAAGAATCGATAAATGGGAAGTTAACACTTAGCTGAACAAATGTCTGGTACTTGGAAAACAAATCAAGTCAGTATATGCCATACTAACGCTATTTGTCAGAATCAAGTAGCTCACAGCTACTGCTTCCCATTTGGTTGCAATGGGAGGAAAGGCAAGAGTGTTATTTACAATGAATTTTTAAATTCATGTGGAATGTTCACATTTTTTATACAAAGAACATACATTGGAATTTGCCATTTCTGAATTTGTTTGCATTTAGAAAAGAATACTGATTTGATTCATTTGCCTAATTTATTCTTTAGCTTTTTGATTGAAGAAAATGACATTTGCACGCTTGGATCTTGTACTTTTCAGAGCAAAACTGGAGCCCTAGAAGGCCCAGAGGTAGACGGATTTGTCAAAGACATGATGGAACTTGTCAAGGTAATTTCGTGAGTCTGTAAGTGATTCCAATCACGAAGTGAGGTTGCCATTGAGACTGATTTCTTTGTTTGTTTTTGAGAATCAGTGATTAGTGCCAGAGAATAAACCTGGAAACAGTGTCTATTTAGCAATCACCAAATTTTTATGGAAGTGAACAAATTTGTTTTTTCTCTCAAAATAATTTGTAGTTTAACTTAAAATGACATCCATTGTAACTTGAACTCTGCCTTATTCTGTGCTATCCTCATTATCTCTGACACTCATGACTCAAGTCACAGTGTCAATGAATTTCTTTAGGATCTTTCTCTCCTTTGCCAACTCTCCATCTTTCCAAGTATGGTATCTTTCTTCAAAGAATAGTGTCACCTAGCTACATATCCAAAGAAAGAAAGACAAAGCTTCACTATCCAAGGAGCACTCGGGGTGCACTTTTTCCAACTCATCTGTTTGTTCTTTTGACAGTCTATGCTACATGATTTAGTTGGCAGAAAAGTTGCCATTCCTTTCTTTCTATAAGACTGAATAGATGAAAAATTTAATAGCCTTCTATCTTTAGGGAAGGGCACTCTGATGGCACAGTCTATGCAGCTAATGCAAAGGCTGCACTTCTCTGGTGGTTTGAAGCCACCTATAGCTCAATGGGAGAAAGATGGGCAATCTCCCCTTATATGACTTACAGGCTCAGAATCTGCAGGAGGGTCAGCTCTGAGTTGGTTCTTACTTGATGGCAGTGAGTTTGAGTTTTAGCTCTAAGGATGTTTTTTAGTCTTGTTTGTAGCACAATAACAATGTCCTGAGTGGCCTAGTTATTAAAAGATTAAAGTAGCAATACACAGGATTTCTTTCAATATCTGATTAAAATTGTGGAAGCTTGCAGCAGAAATCGGTCTAGACACCAATTCTGGCATAAATCTCTACGGAATTTATATACTATGATTGAGCAGGCATCGATGAGGATTTTTTCTTCTGGATTCTAAGAAAAAATGAAAATCCCAGAACACTTGATTGTGCTCATGTAAAACTTATACTTGGAAAAAAAAACAAAACAAAAACTTATTCTTGGACCAGGAAGCTGTCCTTAGAACAGAGCAAGGAAACACTGTGTGTTTCAAAATAAGGAAAGAAGTGTGTCAGAGATGCGTCCTGTCTCCATACCTTTTCGATCTGCATATGGATTTAAAAATCTATATGCAGATCAGGCCATTCCGAAGGCTGGACTTTATGCAGAGGAATGTAGCATCAAGAGTGAAGGAAGACTCATCATAGTTGTGTGCAGATGGTACAACCTTGCTTGTTGGAAGGAAGGATGACCTGAAGTATTTGCTGTAGAAGATCAAGGACTGTAGTCTTCAATATGGATTGAAGCTCAACATCAAGAAGACTAAAATTCTCACCACTGAGCCAATTGGCAGCATCATGATAGATGGAAAAGACAGATTGAGATTGTTCACAATTTTGTCTTGCTCGGGCCACAATTAATACTCTTGGTACCAGCAGTCAGAAAACCAAAAGATGAATTACATTGAGGATGTCTGCCATCAGGGACGGCTCAAGTGTTAAATAGCACTGATGTTAGTCTAGAGACTAAGCTGCACCTGATCCAAGCCATGGTCTTTACAATTACTTGCTTGCTATGCATCAAAGAGCTAGACAATGACTATTGATCACAGAAGAAGAATTGATGCCTTTTAGTTGTGGTGGTGGAGAAGAGTATTGAGCAAACCATGGACTGCTAAGAGAACAAACAAGTCTATCTTGAAAGGGGTAAAACCAAGGTGCTCCTTGGAGGCAAGGATTTTGAAGTACCATCTCATATGCCTTTGGCATGTTTTCTGAAGGGACCAGTCCTTGGAGAATTACATCATGTTTGGCAGAGTGAAACGACAGCACAAGAGAAGAAGACCTTAGATGAGATGGATTGACAGAGTAACTGGGGTAATAGGAGTTGGTGTGTCAGAGACAATGAGACTGACTCAGGATAGGGTGAGGTTCAGAGTCACCAGCAACTCAAAGGCATATAACAACAATCCGAATGAATATGATATCTTCCAAGATACATTTTTTTGTCATTCCCATTCCAAAATGTCCTTTGCCTCCTCTTTTCTTTTCATGTATTGCTTGAACTTGATATCCTACATGATATTTGCACATTCAAAATGATTGATGGGCATTGATACACTCTTGACTTTGATACTGATTGCTAAAAGAAAATTTCATTTTACTCATTATCTATTTAATGCAGAATAATTTCTTAAATAAAAACTGAGCAATTATCTGTGGGGCATTGAAGTTGCATAGCTGAAGGCCTTGCTCATCTGGAGTTTTAATTTCCTTTTGTTAGAATGAATGATGTTTTAGTTTCCTAGTGCTGCTGTAACAGAAATACTACAAGCAGGTGACTTCCCATGCGATTAACTGCCTCTGAAAACCTGCTGAAGGTTCAGCTATAGTAATGGTACACAAGAATGTGTACACAGTTTAAAGGGTCCAAAGTTCAAATCCAGTGTCAAGGGGAAGTTCTTTATTTAGTTCACCTTTTTAAAAAATTATTATTATTATTATTATTATTATTAATTTTGATGAAAATTTACAAAGCTATAGCATGTAATATCTTGAGTTCTTAGGCTTGTAGATTTATCTGCCTCTATAGTCTTCAGAGTTTGTACTCCCCTATATACTTGCTTATCTGTCTAGGCTGCTGTTTATATACCTCACAGGTGATAAGATTTATGGTTGTTGTTGTTATGTACCATTGAGTCAACTACAACTCATAGTGATCCTATGCACAACAGCTCTGAACGCTGCTCTATCCTCGGCCAATCTCACTGTCTCTGACACACCTACCCTCATTACCCTAGTTATTGTGCAAATCCATCTCATTTGGGGTTTCCTTTTCTCCTGCACTGTTCCGTGACCCTTCAAAGCCTGATGTTCTTTTCCAAAGACTGGTCCCTACTGGCTACATTTCCAAAGTATGTGAGGTGGCATCTCAAAATCCTTGCTTTCAAGAAACTTGATTTTGCTCTCTCCAGGACACATCATTTTGTTCTCTGGGCAGACCATGGTATGTTCAATACTTTTCTCTAGCACAGCAACTCAAAAACATCAATTCTTCTTCTGTCATCCTTGATCGTTGTCCAGCTCTCTAATGTATAGCAAGTAATTGCAAAGACCATGTCTGTATCAGGTGCACCTTAGTCTCTAGACTGATATCCCTGCTCTTCAGTACTTTGGAGAGGTCCCTGACAGTAGATTTTCCTAAAGCAAATTGTCTTTTGATTTCCTGACTGCTGTTGCCAAGAGTGTTGATTGTAGAACCGAACAAGCTGAAACTGAACAATCTCAATCTCTTCTCCATCTATCACTATGCTGTCTGTTGGCCCAGTGGTGAGAAACTTTAAAGAAAACCCTATTCTCAGACTCCACAGGAATGGAATTAGTGCTTCAATACATATTTTGGAAGACACAATTCAACCCAAAACTTCCACCTGTTGGCCCTTAAAATTCACATATTTCTTAAAATTTATATCATACAAAACACTATCACCCTATCACAAATGAGATGGCCATCCTGTTTTTCAGAGTTTGAAGTCCTCCATGATTAGGAGCTGAGACCACTCCCTGCTTGAATGTAGAGCCTGGTGGTCCAGAAATTTCCCCAGCAAGAGGTCATAGGCCTCTGCTTCTACTAGGTCTTATTTTCGAACGTCTGGACAGACAGCAGAACAGTGTGTGTGCATTCTCAGTAAAAGTTCATCATCAATCATCAGATAACCTTTCCTCCCTCTTTCTTTCCTTTGCTGTGTCCTAAAGGGGAGCTCTGGTGGTGGCCTAGTTTGTAGTGTCTTACCCTGTTGACCCAAAGTTATCTATCAATGGAATCTTCTTCTGTGCCATGTGTTGTTTATGTTGTGTGTCTTCAAGCTGGAATAGACTCGTAGTTGACCCTCCAGTGGGTTTTTAGAGGCAGTTAATTGCACAGGAGAAGATTGCCCATTCTTCTCCTGCAGAATTGTTGGAACCACATGCCTTTGGGATTGCAACACAACTTCTTACCATTATGTCACCACAGCTTCTGAAAACTCAATGAAAGGTCAACCATCAGTCAGTTGTGACTTAACTAACAGCAATGAGAGAGAGATTCCCTTAGTAATCTCTGCTTAGTGCAAATGATTAAGGACTCTAGCAGGAGGCGCTGGAGGTTTGAGTGCACCCTGAGGTGCTTTGAAAAAAAGTCCTGACAACCTATTTTTAATCAGCCATTTAAAACTCTGTGGCTCATACTCGTGCATTCGTGCATTCACCATAAGTCACAATCAACTCAAACACATTCCCCCCCCCCTTTCATTTTAGCCTAAATTTGTGGAAAATAAAATTTTCTTGGCTCTGAGGTCTAGTTTGTTGCTCAAGATCTTGCCTGGCATCCCACATTTTTGCCAGACTGTGGGATGCATCTGGGTAGGCCTGAAGGATAGGCAGTGCTTGAAGTGGAAGTCATCGGAAGCATGCGAGGAGGGAGAGTGATGAATTGCTGCTGCATCTCTTTCTTACATTTATTTTATGAAAGGACTGGACATATTTTCAGGTGAGAAAGTACAAAATGACTGACAGTGCTTTGGAGTTTACAGATCTGAGCTCTAATCTCAGGTCAGCTATTTGCAAGTTATATGTCAGCAGGCAAATTAGGATCTTTGATACCTGTCCTCTTGTCTATTAAACGAGCTCAATGACAGCTATTTGTCTAGATTGTATGAAGACTAGGAACAACACATACATGTAGCACAATCCCTGAGGTGTAGTATAAGCTGCAAAGGTATAAATACTTATTCTTTTGATGAAACAAAGCTACGGTAATCATAAAAGTTTCTGAGCATAAGAAGAATCAGAATTAGAGAGGAAATGTCATAAATGGAGTCAGCAGCTCGGTATGTGGCTGAGCCATTTTAGTGGAAAATCCTACCTGAAATTATAATGTAAGGAAGACAGTGACAAAGAGAATT